ATATTTGGCCGCATTTTAATACACTATATTTACTTTAAACGCTACGGCAATTTTATTATATTTAAATACCATAGCCATAGGCATAGCGTACTGATTTATACAATCAGAGTACCAAGCGTAGTGGTCCGTAGTTGATACCACTCCGTTTAAAGCTTATTAAACATTACTAACAAACGTAGTAATTTTTTAACGAATGCTAGCCGTATATGTAGTCATTGTAGTGTTGTATATTCAACAGGCGCTGCAACAATTGTTCAGTTACGCAATTGCACGTTGACAAAGTGAAAGATCATATTACAGACGTGTATTGAAAACATGATATTTTCCTCTTACACCGACTTGACTATATTTAGCTAAATTCTTAAGTTGAAAAATATCTGATAGTGAAATATGATAAATATGGAAATACGATTTTAAAAAGTGACAAATTTTTTTCTAGAAAAGTATCTAATTTTTTTATGCTGCCTTTGGAGTATTTTGCCGTGAAATCGCAGGAAATGGCCATTCCAGACTTCTAAAATTAAAAATTTTCTGGGGGAGCATGCCCCCGAACCCCCCTAGAATGTGTGAGTTTTAGAGCAGGACCTGTCGAATTTCGCTAGCTACGCCACTGAAGACATATACCTGGCAGGTCTTCTGATGACTCTGCCGCTAACTTTACTTACAACTGGTGAGTTCACTAACGTCCCATTAGTTTCTTATTGTATGCTATTGCCACTTGTTTCAATTTGCTTCTCACCATATACTCCCACTGTATCATACTCACTATAAACAGGTTCTTCCATGTCTATTGTACTGGTCTTCTCTGGACTTGAACAAATTTCTTCTGAACTCTTTAGTATATGTTTTCTATTCCGGTATTCTTTGTTATTAGCAGTCACAACAAACAATCTAGGTTCTCCTTGTTTAGATTATCCACTAACCTGGCTGGTTCCCAGGTGTTTCCACATCTCATCCTAACAGTATCTCCCTCCTGTAACGGTGTTAAAGTTTTGCTTCCTCGGTCAAAATATTTCTTCTGGATTTTTTGCTTCTCTGTTAATGATTGTTGCATCCTTTCTCCATCATATGCCATTGGCTTTAACAAGGACTGCTTTACAGGTATAAGTGTTTTACCACGATGGCCCATTAATAGTTGCATCGGTGATAAACCAACCCCCTGTGTTGGGAGTATTTTGCAATTCCAAAAGTGCTTAAAGAGGATCGCTCCCATCTTTAAGATCAGCAAATTCACATCTAGAGGCTTTATTTCTTAGTTCAGTAATGTATGTATCTATTGTCTCACCTTCCTGTTGGTTTCTTGTACAAAACGATTGTCCATCAAATGTTAAATTCTTTCTTGGGTTCCAATATCTATCAAATTTCTCCATTATTTTATCAACTTTGACATCATCCCCTGCTGTGTCCCACTGAAATGTATTATACACTTCCAATGCTTCCAAGCCAGCCACGTGTAGCAATGCCATTGCTTGAACTTTTCCGTTCTTTTTGTCTAAACCTGATGCTAATGTAACACCATGGAATAACTCCGAATACAAGATGGCGGTATATCATATGTATTAAATCCTCAGTCACCTTATTTATACTATCTACAGCACAACTAACCCAAACATATATTGTTACATATTTCATGTTATCATAGGAAATGCCTGTTGATGTCAATGTTAATCCATTTCAAGTGCCAATCAGGACAATTAATTGTTTATAGTAAGTGGGCAACAATATCTGCTTTTGAATACATTGTGTATTCAAAATGTGGGGTTTCTGTTGCTTTAATTAATATGGCCAAATTATCCAGTGTTGCCACGACCAACGACAAAACTCCAGAAATTGTGTCTTACAATATCGAACCCGCTGTCAAAGTGGTGTTAGTACTGTGGTTAATTTCATTAGTGTTAATTGTTTGAGAGCTTGGAGCAGTGGCGTAGTGCTCATTGGTTAGGGTTAGTTCAAAACTTAGGGCCCCCAACAGTTAGGGGCCCCCATCAGCCACAGTCTATCGCCCAGAAAATTGGAAAATGCAGGTGAAGAATCAATGGGAAAATGAGAAATTAATAGTGCTACATAATAAAGCCTCCATCGACAACGGTAGCTGATTTTTTATGCCATCTCAAATTAAACAAAAGTTATTCATAAAAGTTGTTACATATGTTGGACTGTTATTGTTATAGACACGGAATTTTCCAGAACATTCTATAAATATTCAATATGAATATAATATCTCTGTCAAACAATGACAACAGGGGCCCCCACACAGAATATACCTAAGGGCCCCCTCTTCCTCTGTTACGCCACTGGCTTGGAGTTCACTATGCGTTCTTTAATATTATGTTTGTAGGAAACCAAAGGGGGTTTCTAATTGACCAATGAAAACATTGCTTTCGTTTGCCCAGGTGTAGATAACTGGGGGAATTAGTACCCTCGCCCCGTCATGGTTTCTGAGATCAGGAATCGCATCGTTATCAAACATTCCTAAAATGTTTGATAACACTCGAAGCAAATAATGTTCCTTTTTTGTTCAAATGGACACCAGACTGATTTAAACAGTCATTATTTGTATTGGAATGTTCTATTGATATATTGTCAGCAGCACAACTTTGTCTCACCAATGTATTAATATGCTTAATTTTATCAGTGTTTCATCATCAGTTCCTTATTATTAGTTCGGATATAGTTACCTTGGTATTAGGCGATGTTTTCACCAGAAAATCTTTTAGTGCCATGCCAGTTTAATAGCTGATAAACAAGCAATGGAATTTGTAAAATCCTTCCACTATCATAATGATTGACAACACACTTTTTGTTCGGTTTGCATATAACAAAATTTACCGCAGTCCTGACTACATGGCTTGCAGTTGGCTGGTGTTTTGGAATCAATTCAAGTTTACAAAAACACTGAATCTTCGCATTGACAATTGCAATGAATGTAGACAAACTAGCATGGTGTAAAATCAAAGAAGCATAACATAGGGGCGATCCAAGATGCTATAAATTTACATGTATATGTATGTTGTTTTTTAAACTATATATAAACATAAGATATAGAAACACTGCTTTAAGAAATATATATTTTAGAACTAATGACAGGTTTTTTGAAAACTCATCAGTAAATGTATTTCTTAAATTGTAAATTTATTTAATATGTAAATTTATAGCGTTGTGTTTCTATATCACATGTAAATTTATAGCGTTTTGGAGTGCCCCTGTGTCATATATGCTTCTTCGATTTTAAGCCATGCCAGTTTGTCTCCATTGCAATTGTCAATATGAAATTCATTCATTTATTGGCGATTCCCAGCAGCATGTCGGGGCACAACCTTAATTGAAATAGTTATATAAGGCAAAACTATATTTACTTTACTACTGTACCACTTACCTCAAAAGGTAATGACAAGCAGGAAACATTTTTCAGAATCACAGTGGCTGGCTTTGTTCTTCAATAACCTCATGGCGATGCATTGCAAAGCTAGAGTCCCTGATCTCTTTTATTGGTGTTAGGTTTCTTGTCTTTCCCATTTCCTTGCATAATCATTTGCAGTGATCCTTATAAGTCTCGGTTGTTTCTGCCTTGGGAATTGGACCTTGCCGCTGTCAGCTTTATTCCTCAGGTTCTTAAACTGAAATGTCATTGACTGTTCCAATGACCCCTGCAAAGTTGAATAATATTAAATCAGCAAAAAATAATTATCTGTGATCATATGGATATTACTCAAGGGCATAGAAAACAATGTAAAGTTGGAGGCATCTTTACGTTGTTTTCTATTCCCTTCAGTAATATCTTGAAAAAAGGCACTTTGAAGAAAAGTTGGGGGAGGGCGGGCACATGCCCACAGTGCACCCCCTCCCCCTACAAAATTGCTCATGTTTGTTAGTTTGCAAATAGCTGCAAAACAAGTTTATTAATATATTGTAGTATGTGATTTGCATATTTCATCAGTGGAATTAACAATTTGATGTGAAAAAATTTTAACAACCACAGCTGCATACAGTCATATACTGCAAAATCCCAATAAAGTGCTAACTCTCTTTTAACCAATTAGTTTAATTTTTTCCCCATTGAATTTAACATACATGTGATCTGGTTAATGCACAATATTTAGTTGATGAATGCTAAATGTGGGTGATACTTGGTGGTCAACTTTACTTGCATATCAAAAAGTTTATGCTTTATCGGAGCGAAAAAATGTATGTTTCGCGCACCAATATAGTAAACGTTATGTAATGGATATTATAGTGTACTACAAAGTCAACTGGATATCTCCATATACATATATACACACCCTAACCATAACCTTAAACCTAACCTATATTGGTGCGCGAAACATGGAACGATAACCAAAAATTGAAATATAAATTATGATATATAAATCATATATAAATTATAGATTAAACATTCCACACATTTAGCAAAGCTTTTCAATCAAATAAGTTGAATAATGCTTACTTAAATTCAATCATGATGTCTGATCTCACAAAATCATTAAATAAAATAATAAATGTATGTGCTTTCTGCCATCTTGGATTTTTGTGTAATTATATGCATGTAATTGTTACGTTGCCATGACAGAAATTTGTGGCCCGTTGCGGTCAGAGTTTGTTGGTATCCAGTATGTTGAATACCATTCTTTGTAAGTTTGACTGGCTAATAAGGAAAATTTCCCACGGTTCTTTAGAAGTTATTTCAATATTGTACTTTATATTTTTTTCCTATATTATAAAATATTTTTTCATATCAGTGATTTTTTCATTCCTCAGATTTCTTGGTTTTCCTGAGCTTTCCTGAATTAGCCATTTCCCAATCGAGCAAAGGACTGTGTCTAGTTGATGTTCGGAGGGACAACAAGTTATACTGAGCGACCTAAATATATATTTAAAGATGCCTTAATTATAACTGTTGCATTTCAGGCTGCACAAAGAACTTTTAGGAAGTAAGGAAAACTTTCTACATGCCATATTCGGCATATTGTTTATTTTTGTC